GTGAATTAATTTGAATTCATCATTTACAATTTTCAAAATTAATTTTGTCTCTTGAAAGATGTCGAGCTCTAAGTTGAACTAAATAGGTACGACTACTACAAAGAGGTCAAAAGCAAGTTATAGCACAGCATTTACTATTTTTAGCCTTTTTCGGGATTATAATAACACAAGTCGTGTTCAATTGCATGTTAAGTGTATTATTTACGAAACGAACTTATTTTTTTCTTTTTTTAATATTTCATTCCAATTCATAGATTCAGTTCTAATTTTAGAATAATGTATCTGTTGATGAACGAGCTTTGTATAAGTTAGCATGCGAGGAAACAGTAATAAAAAGTGTCGAGGAATTTCGTATCAAATATCCAAATTGGCAATATGAAGTATCATTCCTGTTACAGCGACTTGGTTTGCAATATAAATCTAAGAGGGATGCGAAAAAATATATGCTAGTGCAAAATGAAACGAAGGAAGTAGTTGAAACGCCATTGGAAAAAGTAAACTTCTTGTTGAGCCNTGAAGTATCATTCCTGTTACAGCGACTTGGTTTGCAATATAAATCTAAGAGGGATGCGAAAAAATATATGCTAGTGCAAAATGAAACGAAGGAAGTAGTTGAAACGCCATTGGAAAAAGTAAACTTCTTGTTGAGCCTTTTACCATATCGTCATGAAGATCGCATATTTTCTAGGACTTTATTGTTTTACAATATTTTTAATTTTTTAATTTGTTTTTATTAGTCGTAGTACGAAATTTGTTAATCAGAATATTGAACAAAAATATTTAATTACAGAAATGGTTTTTTCAGCTTGTTTTATATTATGCTTTGATATTGTTGTAGTTGGTTTCTATAATTAACAGTTGTCTTATGCGACATATCATTTTCAGAAAATTAAAAATGTGGAAGATATGAAGATGCTTGTTAAAAAAGAAATACAGAAAGCTGTAAAAAGAGAAAATCTTGAGAAGAAAAAGAAGAAACTGAAAGATAAGACAAAATCGAGTGAACTAAAAGAGATAGCTATTCCAGTCTTCAACATGCCTAAGTTGGAACTTCCGAAGCCAATTGTTAAGGGACAGGTAATTCATTCGAAATTTATACTTATTTCCATTGAATTTAGAAAGCATTACGAATTAATAAGATCAATAAAGGGTTACATATTTCAACTAGTTGGAAATGCACTTAAAATGACAGTTGAGACTCAACCGGTGAGTTGGAAGGACTTTGAATTAAATTTTCCACGAAATTCGTTGACGATTATTCGACACTACTGTTCTACTGATTACGAATGTTAGATGACGTTCAAGAGCAATTACGTTTAATACTACTGCTTTATTTCGTTCAGGCTGTTATCAAACTGTTAAGTGTAGACGGTAATCAAAACGACGAATTCCCATCAGTTAGCGTGCCAGATAAAAGCAAAGGTTGAAGTTCAAGCTTTTTTCCTCAAATTTTTGTAGCTTTCTTGAACTTTTGAGAATATATTATGAACTTCAGATGATGTGTTACAAGGAAATGCAGAAGAAAATAT